CGTGTGTTACCCCGTGTATTGACTGAGAAATTTCATCGGGAATCTCCGTCGTTGTTTCCCTCTTGTCAGTGGTGCAGGATGGAGAGCATGGCAAGGGACAACGTATATAGTCGTTTGAATGGAGCGAAAGAACCATTGGCAGTTGGAAGTATATGTAAGAGTAGGCCATAGCATGGTTGTCCGGGCAAAATTTCCCTCATAGCAGACTGTATGGTGTATCCCCGTCTTCATTAGCCCAGTCGTAGCAGAACAGTAAGACGTTAAACCCGATTTCATTTCTATAAATTACAAACTAAGAATTAAGAACACAGAATGCGTAAATCTAAAATCATTTATAGTTGTTGATTATTTAGATATATTCATAATGCGATGTTCATGTAGATCGAATGGAGGGGATGAGAGGCAAAAAATCTAAAGCCATTTTTTCACGATATTATATGGCACCGAGAGAATTCCTCGAATTTTTCAACTTTGTCTCCCTTTATCAGGCCCCGCACACACGTTGGGATGCCCGTAAAAGAACGCTAACTTAGCAGTTGGAATTCAATAAATGATAGGCTTAAACGTAGTTCTCCGATCAAAATGTCCCTAGTACTACTTGTAGCACACTCCATGGGCTTCATTAGCCTGTCCGGTGCAGTAAAATAGGACTGGTTTCCCTATATCAATGGCAAAGAACCGAGTGCTTTACAAGGGACAGCGTCCAGTCGTTCGAATGGGACGGAAATCCGAGATCACGTTTACACGTTTGCGTGCAAGTCAACATTTACCTCATAGCACACTGCCTGGCGTATATCCGTCTTCAGTATCCAGTTTGGTTATTTGTTGTGAAGGTCTTGACTCAACTAATGTTATCAAGTAAAACGAGATCATATGGGCATGTGTATTAGCTTTTGTGGAGTAATAATAAAACCACTAGGGAAATCACTTCTTTTTACGAATAAAACCCGTAAGTAACGGAAACAGTCTAATTAAATGTTCACCATAATTTCACTCCCCGTTGTTTACACCGAGTCAGCAAAGTCTAACAATACTCCCTTATGCGCAGATTTCCTTAGTCTCATCCTTCCAATTAAAACTCATGATACAGAAAAATCCGCGAATTCTTGAGAACGTCTTCGATTAACGAGACATTTAATTGGGTGTCTAATCTCGGCCTAGGAGTACTATTATATTGCCCTTATATAGGGTGGTCCTTCCTAATCTGTTCTATCTAGGAAATTTTCGAGTTAATCTACGATTTCTTGTGTGAAATAGGTCTGAAAGGACCAAGGTTTGATCCCGTGCGGGACAAGCAGAGTGCTCTATTCTGTGACGAGTTGAGGTTTACTTCAACACACAAAGGTTGGGATCCATGAGCGATCGCCCAGGGGGATAATGGTCGGACATACCTACTTAAACCCTAGGTCAAAGGTTAGGAAAGCGGGAGCGAAGTGGGGTTTTCTCTGTTGTAGTATCGAATCTCCGGTGGTATAACTCCAAAATGGTGATCAAAACTATAAATAGTGATATCTCTAGTCATATTGAGTGTCGTGTATTGCTTGGAATTATAACATCCAGTTTTTATCAAAATCCCGCAAACGCCATTATATCATTTAAAGGTGAATTATGCAAGATCTAAATCTGCCTATAGCAATCGTTTTCTGGCATCAAATCTTTAGACCATCAGATGGCTCCGATATTTCAAAGCTAAACGATAGTCTCGATTATCAAGCACAGTTGCTATGATAATAAGCAATCTACGATACATTTTGTCACAAGCTTCAAACATTCATAATTTCACAAAGAAGAAAGTAATTTGACTGAAATTTTCTATATTTTAATTTTTTGAACTAGTATAGCAAGAACGGATATCTCTTTATCTGATTCCTACATACTGCATGTTAATACTTTTAGTTCATTGATAAATATAAATGGCACAGTTTATCACCAACAGTATTAGATTGGAAAAAATCACGCATTAAAATATATAGAGAATGACACCACATCATGTGAATGGATAAATATGGTAAATACATCAGAATTATAGTCTCTCTCGTGGATCTCATATCTTGGTAGTAATCATCAATCTTAATATCAGTGAGTTACAAATTCGTTATTTCTTCCTTTCAAAAAATCACATGTATTTTTGCAACATAGTAAGTCATGGTATATAATCGAGACTAACAAATCTCCTTACACTTCATTTGTCTCATACATTTTACACGTTAAGGCATTCAAAGCAGATTAAATATTGTCACGGTTACGTTGGAGGGTTGGATGGCCGAATGGTTAGCGTGTGCGCGTTGTATCATAAGGTCTGTCATTGAGTCAAATGGTGTGGTTTCGATTCCCCGGTTGTACGTGACATGGAGTAAGGTCGCCTGAAATAAAATTGAACCATATGTTTGTCCCGAAATGAACTAGTTTGTGTGGAGTGGACGTTACCCCCCTCCCTCTCTCTCTCTCCTCTCTCTCTCTCTCTCTCGCGGTTACATTTATTTTCTTTTATTTTAATTAATTTTCTTTAGTGATACAAGAAATGAAATGAAATGGGGTTTAACGTCCTACTTTTCTAAACCATGCAGTGTGTTTTGAGAGATATTTTGCCCGGAAAACTACATGCCCAGGCCTAATATGAAATTGAATCTTTAAACCGTTATATGGATTGTCACATCTATCACAATTCGACATACAATCTAAAATAAACGTGTTTGCAATGTATAGTCAAATCGCGTCAAGTCAAAATGAAAACAAAAACCAGATAATTTATTTTAAAAAGCGACGGAAAGTAATACCTTGGCTGATGGAAGGATGACTGGCAACTCTCAGCTCCACAGGCGGCGATGTAGGGCCCTTGGTCAAATATGGGTATAATAAATTTAAAAACATATAATTTTGATTCTACACTAATGATACATTTAAGAATACTTTCTAGGAAGAATCGCGTTATATCCTTTGGTGAATGGGATATAACGAATTCTCACATTTACGAAATCGTTCTAGACGAAATCATGTTTGTCGAATTGGCTGTACTAATTCATATATTTACGAATTCGTATTAATCTAATCATCTCCTTGGCCGTATGGAGTAATTCTGTGTATCATATGAGGAGACGGATCCAAAGCCCAAGTAGGGATGTAAGGGCGTCGGGGGACCTATCTTATTTGTCGCAAACATCGTATACCTATTGTAACATTCCATATCACCTGCGTCTTCTTAAGGCCCACGCAATTTAATATTTTTTAGTTCTTCTTGTGTGCGATGTTTTGTTCAAATTTCAGAACTGAAATATTTGGAATGAAAAGTTATTGTGAATAACAACTAAGTACTTTTGTTTTCAGATTTATTTTTTTTTCCTGAAGAAATTGGAGGCTGGCCTTTTATAAACTGAGATTTAAATTATTGTGGCCTAAAGCTCCGCGCCATGTATTAAATTTTCTTTATGGCCTCAAGAACACTTCTGGGACATTAGGTAGGAATATATCTAACCGAAAGCACATGAGTATACGTGATTATCAATACAATTGTGATGTTAGATTGCATTTGTCATCAATTATACATGTATATTAGAACCGATACAAACATGCGTTAATGTACATGTTGCCTTCCAATTTTCAGTATTTTGTCGTCTATATTATCTTGTACTCCATTACCAAACTACTGAATGAATGATGGCTAACACAAAAGAATAACCTAAATGTGAAAATGCATTGCAACTAATCACATCTATGTTATATCCAACATGGACTTTTGTAAGCTGTCTAAATGGAATCATTAAAGTCGTCCGTGCTCTACAATGGAGGCTTTGTGTGATGTTTTCCTGCTTTCTTCAATATTAAATCGAGAATCAAACGACAAAGTTTTTTAAGAGAGAGAGAGAGAGAGGGGGGGGGGCTAAAAATCATTTCTGGGCTGACATAATATTGTCTATTTTTCAAAAATTGTGCTGCATATTTTATCAGGTAAAAACACCGATTGAACTCTTCCCCTACATAAAAATTCAGCTTTTGAACATTCCAAAACCCCTTCTTGAGAACGCTTTGAAGCTATATGAAACTTGAAACACGAGACTGTACGCAAATAGAAATGTTTAAAAACACAGCATGTATGCACGCTACTTGTAGCTTCAGTGATATTATATTGCATGATATCTCTCTTTGTTTTGAGTTATAAAATAAATAAGTGCAGTTTGAAAGCCTAGAAAATATTGAACTTTACATTGGATATTCAATTATAACAGAAAAAAGAGTCATCCGTGTCGTCAGTTGCACAACAAATCAACACCGTGTTTGTATGGTAATAAAATGTAAATTAGAAATGCATTAACGCCATAGTTTGTACAGTTTTTCAAATTTGTTTACCCTGTGTCAACACATTATGGTTTCAGTAAACGGAATACTATGAAATGTGGTTTAACGTCTTATGTTTTTGTACCCACTGGGCTAATAAAGGCGGGAATACACCATGCAATTTACTATGAAGGAAATTTTGCCCAGACAGCGGCGCTACGGCTTACACTTATGTCGAATTCCAATTTTTTTATGCGCACACCAACGTCCATTTTTCATCCCATCCGAACGACTAGACACTGTCTGCACCCAGTGACAAGCAAGAGGAAACAACGCAGGAAATTTCCAGGTAACCTTTTCGACCACCTGGTTAGTGAGCCAGCGCCTCCCCACTGCGCCATTGAGTAAACACAGGTGAATTCAAAAACTCTCCAAATCTTGTTATGATTTAACAATAACACAAAAAAAACAATCGCATCTTTTTTCAGATCATTTATAAATAAACAATGTTCGCCAATGTTTCGATATACATCTGCAATTGGTTTGACAAATTTGTATATTTTGTAGGATTTTTTTTTTCACTTTTTTTTTTAAAATAGATATTCGAACAACCAAGAAAAAAAATAATTCATTTTATGAAAAGCCTGGAAGTATAGTAATCAGAAGTCTAATCTACGAGAATGGATGACATTTAATAAAATGTGAAATTTTTTTAGAAAGATAATTACCTTATTTTCTGTCGGGAAACTGATGATGGATTCACAAAATAAAACTAGTAAGACACACACAGCTCTACCATTCGCCATCACCATCGCATCTGATGTTGTTCGATAGGTACTAACAGTTGACACTCGGTAGATACTCGCGCCTTTTCTGATGAGAGAGTTAGAATGAATGTTTAAATAGCAGGAAATATATAATGGTATTACACCACGTGTGTGTTAGTTCTAGCAAATAGTTAAAGCGAGTAGCTCTACATGACGAGAAAGAACTACCGATATATAAGTAAGACAAAGGCTTATTATTGATTTGTTATATAGCTAGAAGAAGACACGAGTGTTCCGTCAAATAAACACGTATACACTCAAATACATACACTGATTATTTTAACATTTATTTGATGTTGACAAGTCTTTTATGATTTAGTCAATCTTACTCGATAGATGATTAACAGTCTATTGGAAACACGATTATCACGTTAATTGTTCGAATCTCGACACGTGGACAGAAATAAATTTTTGATTTTGAAATACGGGTTGCCACTAATCAGCAGAAACGAAAGTCTGACAAGTGCCTCGGATGAATGAAATGAAATGGGCTTCAACGTCTTACTTTTCTGGTCCGAAAACGAAAGTACCTTGGATGAATGAAATGAAGTGGGCTTCAACATCTTACTTTTCGGGTCCGACTAGACGAATGAAGATATGTATATATATATATATATATATATATATATATATATATATATATATATATATATATATGTATGTTACCATAGTCATTTAAATTTCTGTGGATGGATAGTATTCGCTGTGGATCAACACAAAGCGTATAGTCCAGGAGCTAATGACAAAATAACATGGTCATCAGTTAGAAAAGGTCTGACCTCCCAAATTTGTAGTGGGTGTCCATACGAGTAAAAATCAATTGGTCAGATCGGCCACTGCTGGACCATATAGCCACATCAGCACCTTAAAGTACCCCCCAGGGCAAAAATTTGATCATAATATGCTACATAGCTGAAACTTTCTAGAAGCAAAGGTATCCATAGCTGGAGTAAATATGTCACAAATCTAACCAAATTTTCCGGGGCTTTCCCAAAGTCAGACCACACTCAATATCTCCTACCAGGGGTAATAATATGGTCATCAGTTACATGGCTGAAACTCACCAGAAACAAAGATCTATACTTGGAAAATACAATTTTAAAAAATCTAACCAAAAATTTGAGGGCTTTGCCCAAGTCAGATCGCTCCGACCACGCCCAAAAAATAGGGATTTTTGTGAGGCCTACAGTTACATGGCTGAGACTTGACTGAAATATGGATCAGTGTGTGGACAAAATGATTTTCGAAAATCTAACCATAAATTTTGGGTCTTTCCTCGAGTCAGGGTGACCTTTAAAACTACATCTTTTTTACTGGGGTGGGGGTGGGGGTGGGGGGGTCAAACCGTTTGTAAATCGACTAGTTAGACATTTTAAATGTTACTTGTATGGTTACGAATGCATTGCTAAGAGACCAATTTTGCTAAGACAGAGATGTTCCCGCCTATATTTCTTTGAATTTCAGATCTTTTCTATGTGCTTTCGATCTGTACACAGTTAGACATATTTTCCTACAGGCACCACCGCCGAGAACAGTAAACCAGGTTTAAATGGTTCTTCTAGGCATACACCAATATTTGAACTCCGGTTATGCTAGTTGTCCATTGTTCTCCGCGAAGTGACGTTTGCTCCTACTTTAACTGTTTTATAATCGATACTGACCACTGGACCCACACCTATCCTTTAACAGTGTACAGTCTTATTTACTACACCTTAAGTGTCCTGTGTTAATCAGCATTCTAAATTAGCTCCCTGAAATTTATTAATAAATATCCAAACATCCTTTGTCACACATTTCAGTACAGCTGCTAATGAACAAAGACATTTAACCTGATCAACAGGTCAGGTTGAAAATTGTTTCAATTTTCAAAGCTACCCACTGTTGCATAGCACCATACGTGGCCTAATCACTGCTCGGGTTTTCTTCTGTTTCCCTTCTTGTGGAAAGTCACACCCAATCAACATAGCTACAAAATTTAGTTGAAATCCATCCATTGATCCAATCCTGGGGTCCTCTGTCGCACCAATGTCTTTCTCCGCCTCTGTGGTGTCCAGCTGTTTTATTTTAACTACGTGTTATCTTGATTCATTAATGATGATTCTTACCAAATTGAAGTGAAATCCATTCAACCAAGGCCGCGCCTACCAGATTGAAAAGAAGTCGATTCATCAAAGGTTCCTCTACCGGATCGAAGTGAAAGGCCCGCCTACTAGATTGAAGTGAAGAACATTCAACAAAGTTTCCCCTACCAGATTGAAGTGAAGTCCATTCAACAAAGTTTCGCCTACCAGATTGAAGTGAAATCCATTCAACAAAGTTTCGCCTACCAGATTGAAGTGAAATCCATTCAACAAAGGTCCCCTACTAGATTAAAGTGAAGTCCATTCAATAAAGCCCCCCCCCCCTTAATAAATTGAAGTGAAGTCCATTCAACAAAGGTTCCCTTTCCAGATTGAGGTGAAGTCCATTCAATAAAGGTCCCCCTACCCAATAACGTGACTGATTGTAATTAAAAGGTGTATTGAGTTATTTTAAGACGGCTGCCTAGTGGTCGCGGTCGCATGATTGCATTGTAACTTTCTTTCCAAGTATTTAGTCTGTAAGATACATTTTGAATTACTTATTTTATATCAAACAAATATTTGTATAGTGAGTTTGATTATGATCACCTACAGCAGATATGGGGTGATTTCTATAAGTAATGAGTTGCTGTGAGTATTATTATATATAACTGGGGATTTTTTCTCTTGGGTACAATGTACAGGGAGGTGATCCAAACTGGGTATATCTTATACTAATTCTCATTTATTTGTTAAGTTTTTGCAGTCTGATTTAATCAAACTAACCCTCAAGTAATGGGACCGTCAGCCGATAAATGTGGTTTACAGAATCATTGAACTGTCAATCAAACAAAAATAGAGTTGAATGACCGAAACTACTTCTCATGCTTTTTTCTTTCCGGAAAGATTAATTTGGGTGTTGAAGACTGGTATTGATGGGTGTGGGAAGATGTCCGATAGAAAAACTCATATCCGTGGGCAGTCTAATTAAAAGTTAGCCACACTTTCGCGACAGTGTATTAGACATGTGCATTAGACTTCTTGAAATAAAAGACAACGAAAACCATTCATGTCAGCAAATTGGAAATGGGGCAAACATCCCAGAAGAGATAAAATTCTACAAATTTATTCTTCAAGTTTCAAATCGTTCCTGGAAGTCTTAAGAGATAACGTCAGTAACTGAATTAATACAAACAAAAGTAAACATAAATCAGGGAAGAAAATTCGCAAATTTCGCCCAATTAAAATTTGGGAAGTCTTAAATTCGAGGGGTGATTGATAAGTAATGAGCCTCGATTGGAAAACCGTTTTGCACGTGTACTATTATGTTCCTCGGGCTCTGTCACAATTTTTCATCTCATTCGGTTTAACTGTTTGGTTGTGACAGGTCATAACAATCAAGTAGGGTCTGTTGTTATCATAAAATGGACCATATCGAGGCGAGAGCTGTGATTAAGTATCTGCATAAAAAGGGTCTAACACCAAGAGCCATACATGATGATATGGTTGAGACATTAGGAGATGATGCTCCTTCATATGCCACAATTAAAAGGTGGTCAGCTGAATTTAGGCGTGGGCGAGACAGCATTGAAGACGAACCACGCTCTGGTCGACCAAAAACTCTCAACACCTGAAATGGTACAAAACATCCATGATCTGATAATGAATGTCCGGCGAGTTACTGAACGATTCATAGCTGGGGTACTTGGTATTAGCCAGGAGAGAGTTCATTCTATTACCACTGAAACTTTGGAAATAACAAAGGTTTCAGCACGATGGGTGCGTTCAAGACACATCATGTCAGAAAAGAATCTAGCCTTATTTGAAACCGATCCTGACCGCTTCCTAAAACAAGTTGTTACTATGGATGAAACTTGGGTCCACCACTTTCAGCCAGAAACAAAAGAGCAGTCAAAACAGTGGAAACATGTGACGTCGCCGACCCCAAAGAAGGCAAAGACTGCTTCATGGGCAGGAAAGGTGATGGCCTCAGTATTCTGGGATTCTGAGGGTGTTCTCATGGTGGATTACCTCCAAAAGGGTCAAACAATTAACGATAGATACTATGCAGCACTTATAAGGCAGTTGAGGCAAGAAATTAAGACCAAAAGACGAGGAAAGCTGACCAAAGGTGTGATTTTCCACCAGGACAATGCGCCAGTGCACAAATCAGCTGTTGCCATGTCAGCAATCCATGACTGTGGTTATCAACTTCTTCATCATCCACCCCACTCTCCTGATTAAGCTCCCTCAGACTTATATCTATTTCCTGCTCTGAAGAAATGTCTTTCCGGTAGGCATTTCCCGTCTGACGATGACGTCATTGCCGCTGTGGATGATTTTCTACACACCCAAGACAAAGACTTCTACAGAACTGGAATAAAGGCTCTGCAACACCGATGGTAGACGTGTATTACATTGAAGGGGAGTATGTTGAAAAATAAATGCATTTGATTTGAATTTCTTGTTTCTTTCTGTGTTAGACTCACTACTTATCAATCACCCCTCGTATGTATCTGGCTTTAACTGAAATTGAAAAGATATTTGCATAAATGATTTCAGACCAATTGTAATACACTACAGGTATTTTAGAACCAGTTGCAAAATCTTAAACAAACGTAATGACGACAGAAGGAATTGAATTCTGACTATGTTGCGACTCGATGTCAATTTGTTGCCAAATATTTAACAATAACTTAAAGGTTTAGAATACACGAGGTCAGGTAATACTAGTGAAATCACTAGTGTTTCACCTGGGATTATTTGGAGTCGCATTTCTTGGTTTGGTCGCGAAGTGTATCGTAACCGCTTTAGTGTGGTACTAATTCTTAATGTAAACGTAGCTTCATAGATTCAGTTTGACAGCCTATAATAATAGATTGCAGCGTTATACCTTAGAGCCCCAGACTGTCACCCACTTCTTTAATATAGATGAAACTTATGTATTCACCCAATTAGAAGTGGAATATCACAGGATTAGAATATTTTTCTGGGGGGGGGGATCCAAAATTTAAATGGCTTCATAAAAAGAGGGTGACAAAATTATGGATAATTGAAACTTTGA